CTGTCAAAAAAGAGAAAAGTGGACGCAGAGTGCAGTGTTCCAGGAAAGATGGTCATCCTCCTATTAATTCACGGAAGTGAATGGGAAAGCTGTGTGTTTGGTGTGTTCACAGCATGTTTCAGTGTTGAAAGAATATAACCTTCGTCGCCACTATGAGACTCTTCATGCCAACAAATACAACAACTTTCAAGGACAACAGAGAAGAGAGAAGGTGAATGAATTGTTGGCAGTTCTGAAGAAACAGCAGTTCACTCATAGCCGAGAAGTCAGTGACGCTGCAGTGAAAGCTAGTTACCTGATTGCTAGTGAAACTGCAGTTGCTTCAAAACCATTCAGTGAAGGTGAATTTGTGAAAACATGCATGCTGAAGGCTGCGGAGATTGTGTGCCCTGAAAAGCGCCAGGCTTTTGCAAATATCAGCCTGACAAGAAACACAATTGCAGACAGGATTTCTGAGCTTTCGGTGGATTTGGATAACCAGTTGAAGCGCAAAGTAAAGTCATTCATTGCGTTTTCAGTTGCAATCGATGAAGGCACGGACATTACTGATGTTGCGCAACTGGCCATATTCATCCGCGGAGTTGATGGCACTTTGACCGCCACCGAGGAATTCGTGGAATTGGTGCCAATGATGGACACCACAACAGCAGCTGATATTTTCACTGCGTTCGTCGGCGCGCTGGACAGGCTCGGCGTGGACTGGTCCCGCGCTGTCAGCCTGGCTACAGATGGTGCGCCCTCAATGATCGGGAGAACGGCAGGTGTTGTGACAAAGTTCAGAGAAAAAGTGCAGACTACAAATGGAGGACGGGATTTTTGAACTTTTCACTGTATTGTGCATCAGGAGACTTTGTGTTGCAAGGCATTAAAGATGGATAACGTCATGAAGGTGGTTGTCCAAACAGTTAATTTCCTCCGATCTCCAGAGGCCTTAATCACCGTCAGTTTGACAGCCTTCTCAGAGAGAAACACCACAACTATGGCCTGCCGTACCACACCGAGGTAAGATGGTTAAGCCGAGGTGCTGTGCTGAGGCGTTTCTTTGATCTTCTTGAGGAAATTGAACAGTTCACGGCAGAAAAGGGCAAACCAGTGTTAGAATTTCAGTCCACAGAATGGATGCAGGACCTTGCATTTATGGTTGATGTTACAGAGCACCTGAATAACTTGAACAACATGCTGCAAGGGCGCAATAAAGTTATCACGCAGTGTTATGACAGCGTATGTGCGTTCAAGCTGAAGCTGTCATTGTGGGAGACCCATTGCAGCTGGTGATGCAGCTCACTTTCCTTGCCTGAAAGGTGTGTGCGTGACCCAACATGCCGCAGACATGAAGCGATTCAAAGACAAAATAACCGGACTATTGTGGGAGTTTGAGCAACGCTTTCAGATTTTTGGTGAACTAGAGAAATACTTCAAAGTTTTTTGCTCGCCATTCACCGTGAATGCCTCTGATCTGCCCGTCAACATCCAGCTTGAAATAATAGACTTGCAGTGTGACTCAGATTTGAATGGCAAATTTGCTGCAGCTGGCTTGGACACATTTTATCAGTATCTCTTGCCAGGTTGCCCCAACTTGACAGCCTTTGCTGCATAACTGTTGTGCATGTTTGGAACCACATATCTTTGTGAGCAAGTTTTCTCCGTAATGAGCATCAATAAAACAAAGCTGCGCTCAAGACTCATGCACAACCACTTGAATAACATCCTGAAATTGACTGCCACTCAGGATGTGACACCTGATATTGATACACTTGTGAAAGCTAAAAGACGCCAGGTTTCAGGAGTAAAATAATCAGTGGGTAACCCCACTTAAAATGTTGCATGACACACTGCACCCTGATATAGTTCTGTGAAAATGATTGTCTTCTGTGGAAATTTAAAGAAAGTGAACAGTGTGTGATTTACTGCAATCTGTCTGTCACTTCAGTTTGTAAGTTTGGTTTGTTAAAATTGTTCATGCATTGCACAGCTTTTATTTTTCTATCAATAGTGTAGCCTACAAGGCAAGAAGTAAATCAACCCTCTTGAATAGTTTCTACCTCAGCTTGTATGGTTTGTTGAGTTAGCACAGGATAATTTGTGGAAATGACAAATGAGGTATTTAATACCTAGAAGAGTTGTTTTATGTATGTATTATTTATTTTGTATTTGTTCAACCCCAGATAGGCTGTGACTTTCAGTTCAATGGCTTTGAAGGTACTCTGAGACAAAGTCTAAGTTCCAGTCACTGAGGCATTGTGTTCTTGAAATTGCACCAATTTTTTCCTCAGAATTTTCAACTAACTTGAAGTGTTTTGTCAAGAGGATTATTTGTGATGTGTACATTTTCTGAGTGTGCTTGTACTATTTTGGACCAAAGTAAAACAAAGAAAAGAACCTGAAGTTGTTGTTTTGCCATGGTTTTACCGGTCCGGCCCACTTGTGAATAGATTTTCCTCCATGTGGCCCCTAGGCTAAAAGGAGTTTGACACCCCTGCAGTAGAATAAACTTTTGTTTAAGGCTGGCACAACTTTACCTGTGTTAGCAAAACTCTAACCAATGCAAGTCCTTAAAAACTCCTTGGGGATATTACCCAATAAATCCGGTTCTTAAGAAACGTGTTCTACATTACCGGTTACTGACTCTCAAAAAACAAACAACAGAGAAGGCAAATTAAGGGTTAATACACTCACCGAAGCAGTGGCGTTATCGCTGGTTGTCACCAGGCCTGATGACCGTCGTCCTCTGCGTTCACAACCTTGCGCATCACATGGCCAGAGGAGCATAACTTGATTGGATCGACTTTGTCCAGAATCGATTGCTTACGTCTAAGTCTCTGGATGTGAAAAATATATTTTTTTACGGCAAATTTTGAACCTGTCAAATTTGACTGTTGAATTTGAGCACCATCAAATTTTCATGGCTTCGAATTTTTTAAACTTGAAATTTTGACTTATTGAAATTTAGATGGGCTAAATTCAGACAAAGGAATTCACATACACAATTTCGATGGCAACAAAATTCAAAGTTAGAAATTTAGCAGCTTTTAAAATTCAAAATTGGATGAGCCTGATTTGCTTCCATATTATATCTATGTCTTCGTACAGGGCTGCAAGGTGGCTCGGTGGTTAGCATTGCACTGTCGCCTCACAGCTAGAAGGTTGTCGGTTCGCGTCCCGGTGACGACACCCGGGGTCTTTCTGCGTGGAGTTTGCACTTCTCCCTGGACTCCCACACAGTCCAAAAACATGTTGAGGTTAATTGGTGATTCTGAATTGTCTGTAAGTGTGAATGTGAGTGTGCTTGGTTGTCTGTCCCTAAGTGTAGCCCTGTGACAGACTGGCAACCTGTCCAGGATGTCCCCTACCTACGCCCTAAGTCAGCTGGGATAGGCTCCAACCCCCCCGCGACCCTAGTGAGGATTAAGCGGTGTATAGATAATGAATGAATGGATGGATGTCTTTGTACAACACAAGGTAGACATGAAAGGATGACTCATTTAATGGAGATTTAGTACTTACTTGACCCAGGAGTTGCCTCACTCTGCGCATACTGAGGAATTTCAGGGCAAACTGTCACCTTTCAGAATGGCAAACATTCCCTGAGGGGGTCGGGGGATGTGGGTGACTTATGGGGTGTTGTAGAAACTGTTCCATGGGTTCATTTGCTAGTTAGTATCGATGAACAGCATGAATTGAGATCAACATCGGCATGGAATAGTTTAATGAACACTTTACCATGACTGGGTTATGGAATTAGTCTCTGAAGAATTTTTCTTCCTTAAGCTTTTGTAGAATGTTTTGGAGGTCTCCCCTGATAAGAAGAAAGAAAGAGAAGCTGGTCATTAGGCATGTCAGGACAATTTACTGAGAGCTGTCAAAGAGGAGGACTCCAGAGATTAAGAGATTGATGGAATTCCTCTGGTTGGAAAAACCTTTGTGTTAGATACAAGGATTACTAGTTTATAGTGCACATAACACAGCCTTATAACTTGAATATCAAATGTTGTTTTGTTCTGTCATTCTGGATGTAATGCATATAAATGTTTAGTTGATTTCTGTATTTTTTATTTTTTTTTACTACTGACCCCTGTTTTGTTAAAAAATATTCTTGCACAAATTAAGAAAGGAGACCCTGGTGAGGAGAGGACAGTTTTCACAACAGTGATCCTCCATAACACCCCCTCCTTTAGGCACCCTGCAGTCAGCAGCTGAGTTGAACAGACGTGGCACTGTGGAGGTGGGGGCAGGGTTAGACATCTTGCAGCTTCTGTGAAGCATGAAAACTACTTCATGGAGCTTTCGAAATTCTGGATGTTTCCATTTGAAATAAAGAATCAATGTAACAAGGTCAACTACAACAAATTACAGCTTTTTAAACATTTTAAAACAATGTGACATTTTTAACAATGTGCCCATTTAGTGATATCCTGTCTGTTCAAGTTGCAGAGGGCTGGTGATCCAGAGAGGCTCATACATTGAAATCTCCAACAACTACAAAATCAACTTTGACAAACCATGTATTTTCGTGCGATAGAATCATTTATTTCTGAGTAAAATATAGCCTAATTTTGATCTTTTCCATGTGATGAAACCAGGGCTGAAGATTGAGTCAGCAGGCAGCATGGGGACCTAGAAACAAAGGAGTATTTCTGTGTTTCAGCAGCTAAGACTGATCAAGAATCAGACTTTCTCTGAGTTTGCATCTGCAGTTGCTTTTGGGAACATTTTAAAGCTGACTCCAGACCAGTTTTGAAGGGCTAACTTAAGCCCTTCCAGTTTTTCAGCCCACCCCATATTTTCCAGGAGGACGTCCCTGATCCCAACTTCCTGAGCAAACCCAGAAACCCTCATTTGAATATCCTATTCCCACTTCTAGAAAATTCTCTCACAGGATATATAGAGCAGGAGAGATTGTTGCAGATACTCTTTCCACAGGAGAAACCAAGAGGAACTCAGAGAAGAAACGCTGCAAAACTGTGCCAGGTGAGGATTACAACGTAACTCTTTGTTTTTCAGGAAGGAATGTAAGGGGGTGAATGGACTGCTTTGTTTGTGTGGTTTAAAGTTACAGTTCAACATTTTTTACCCCAATTTGAACCAGTTTGAAATCTGCAGCTACTTCTTGGCTGACAGTCCTGCATATTTTCAGGGAATATTGTACTTTATTTACAGGCAAAACAAATTCAGACTTCTTGTCAGAGCCTAAACTTTTTAATGCAACCTATCCCAGCATACCTTGTCGCTTCTTGTATGTCGCTGCTTTGCCAGCTACTTAAATGCATTAAGTTGAGTCTAACTACTCAAAAGTACTTCACATGCATCCAAGTTAGCTGTTTCTTTTTCTCTAATCTGGCACTTTTGGATGATGTTTACATTTTTCTTAAAGGAATTAGTACTGCTTGACCATGGCACAGCTTGAATTATAGTTTTTTTTTGCTGGACCGCTCACAACCAATGACAAAAGTTTACGTGTCTGATATTGAATGACTGATGAATAACCAACTTTAACCAGTATTAAATGTTTAAATTCTGAGGGTTGAAAACTGGGAAATAGATGTGTATATATAGGTTTTGTCTCCGTCAGAGCCTGAATATATTTTTATTTGTTTGCTCTATGGAGATTACTACATAAACCTCTTGTCTTTCAGAATGAAAATCGCAGTCATGAAAACATCTGAAGGTATCCGAACAAGAAAGTTATTTCTGCTGTATCACAAATATACAAATACAGGGCTGCAGACAAAGTATCTCTCCAAGAGAAACGGGATGCCAGTACAGTTGGTTATTTATAGCCTGAGGATATGCATTTGCCCCTTTCTTTGAACAAGTGATAGAAAGAGTTCAGTACAGCCTGCAGGCATACGTCCTTCTCTGGGTAAAAAGAAAACCTGTGAAAGTTTCAAAGACTTCACCGCATGTCTCACCTAGTGCAAAAAATTGTTTGTGATCCTTACATCTAAGGAGACATTGTTAATGTTTTGCAAAATTTTTAGTAATCAGAATAAATGTACAGAAGTAAGAGGCATCATATTTCAGCCTTGAGTCAGCACACAGCCTCACTCTAAGAGGGCAGCAGCTGTAGCTGTACAGCCAAGCCTCTAGTTGCTGTTGACGTGGCAAGGAAAATGTCTGCCTCAAACAAGAGGCAGTCCCAAGCTTCTTTGTAGGCTGAGCCAACCCCGCCCTGCCTCTACAGCTTCACATTCCAAGTATAGTCTTGCCCTGGCATTTTCTTTCTGAGATATGATTTTATGGAATTAAATTACTATAGTTCTGGATATGCATGTGCTCCACAAACTCACTCTGGTTTAGTAATGTTAACCTTATGTTTTCTTTATGTTCCTTAATCACAGGCTGCCACAGCTGCTTATGGAGACAGACAGGATGTGGATGACTAATGTTGTAGCTCTTTGCCTGCTGGCCTTCGTGGCCTCTGCAGAGGACAAGAAGCTGAGTAGCCATGCAGCCACACTGGCTGATAACAGTGCCAACCTGGCCTTCAGGTTTGTTATTGATTATGTACATTATAATTTTGGTACACTTAAAACACAAAGTTGCTTGAATATGGTCTCAATGACTTCCATTTTGCTTAATCTTTCTTCTTTTAATAAAAAAATAATATAGCCTCTACCACAACATGGCAAAGGAGGAAGACACAGAGAACATCATCATCTCTCCTGTGGTGGTGGCCTCTTCTCTGGGGTTGGTGGCTCTTGGCGGCAAAGCCTCCACTGCCTCCCAGGTGAAAACCGTCCTTAGTGCTGACAAACTCAAGGACGAACATATGCATGCAGGTCTGTCAGAGCTTCTGTCTGAGGTAAGTTCACTTCTCTTCAGTTAGATGTAATGAAATCATTTGATTCCTCTCTAATAAACAGTATGCATTGCTGCAACTTACCTTATTTTACGGAAAGATGGCTTAAAGATTCCAGTTTTTGGAACTTTTACCCAAATGGAAAAATGTAAATCCTTATTTCATCGATGCACTGACTGTTCCATTGTTTTCTTTAACTCTGTAATCTTACTGGAAGAAAACAATGCTTGCATTGCAGCAGAAATTTTTAAAGAAATACGCAATGCTGAAGGAGATGTAAACCTTATTTTTGCACTTCCCCCAAATCTAGAACTGAGTCCACAAAAGTAAACTATCATCACCAAAGCACAAGATAAATGAGATTGAACAGTACTTCAACTGCAGGTTAAATGCTTTTAATAGTGTATATTTCAAATGTCTTACTGTCTTTATGTTGCATCTTCCCAGGTTAGTGATACCAACACACGCAACACTACCTGGAAGATCAACAACCGCCTCTATGGTCCCAGCTCTGTATCCTTCGCTGATGAGTTTGTGAAGAACAGCAAGAAGCACTATAACTATGACCACTCGAAAATAAACTTCAGGGACAAGAGGAGTGCAGTGAACTCCATTAATGAGTGGGCATCCAAGTCAACTGATGGCAAGCTGCCGGAGATCACCAAGGATGTGCAGAACCCAGATGGAGCCATGATTGTCAATGCCATGTTCTTCAAGCGTGAGTATAGATTATGTCGAAGCCTCTTTAGTTGATCATTCATGGTTATGCCTGAAACATTTGATCAGTCAGAAACCTGGGCAAGATGTGTAACTGACTCTACCCTGTTATATTTTCCACAGCTTACTGGAATGAGAAGTTCCACGACAAGATGGTTGACACTCGGGGTTTCCTGGTTAGCCGTTCATTCACTGTTGGAGTTCCCATGATGCACCGTACAGGTAAGTTTCTCATATTTACTTCATATCTTATTAGGTCTTCAGAACTGAAGAAAAGGATTCTGCAGAAAGAATGCAAACATGATAAGCTACCTGCTCTTCACAGGTCTTTATGACTTCTATGAGGACACTGAGAACCATCTCTTTGTGCTGAACATGCCTCTCGGCCAGAAGCAGACCTCCATGATCCTTATCATGCCCTACCACCTGGAACCCCTGGAACGCCTGGAGAAACTTCTGACAAGGAAGCAGGTGGACATGTGGATCAGCAAGATGGAGAACAGAGCTGTAGCTATCTCCCTTCCTAAAATCTCTCTGGAAGTCAGCCACAACCTGCAGGTAAATTGTGGCACTTTGATGGTTCCATCACAATATAAACAATTAAAAATAAACTATTGACTGCAGTGTGTTGAGCAGTATCTTTTTCTGTCTTTTTTCAGAAACATCTTGCTGAGCTTGGTCTGACTGAGGCCGTGGACAAAGCCAAGGCCGACCTGTCTAACATCTCTGGAAAGAAGGACCTCTATCTCTCCAACGTCTTCCATGCTTCAGCCCTGGAGCTCGACACTGAAGGAAACCCATATGATACTAGCATCTTTGGCAGCGACAAGCTGAGGAACCCCAAGCTGTTTTACGTAGACCACCCCTTCCTTTTCCTGGTGAAAGACAACAAGACCAACTGCATCCTGTACATTGGCAGAGTAGTTAGACCTAAAGGGGAAAAGATGCGTGATGAGCTATAATGTTGATGTGGTGAATCATGTTGGGTAGCTTTACTATTTGTGAAATTATGGCAAGAAACTGTACATGTGCATGTGGTCTTTTGTTTGGTTTTTTGGTATGACTGTTACCTCAAGAGCACATTCCAAAAGATAGTCTGTTAGTTTGCCTGAATATTTGAGCTTACCGTTCATAGATACACTAAACCTTTCCAGGGAATAATTCTGTAGAAATGCCTAAGACCACTTCGACCAAATAATGCTCTTAACAAAAAAATGGATGCCTTTTTTGAGATTCCCAGTAACAACCAGCATGTGACAAAGCTAACAACATGCTTATATTAAGTATGATCTCTTTTTCTTTACATTCTCTATTTGATGGTGTTTGGTTGCAATGTTTGTTTTCTTGCAATATCTTTAATGTTTGAAGAAAAAAAGATCCTTGGAAAGGTGGCGACTGTCTTGTACTTGATCTATGTCCATTTGGCAGCCGTACTGTGTCATTGTTGTTGCTGTAGGTATTTACCACAAACAAGTGGTTGGAAATGTGTGATTATAATGTGCTCATTTTTCAATAAAAAAAATAAAATATCTTGTGGCTGTTCTATTTTTGAAAATCCTGTTTGAATACCATCCAAACCCTGGTCCTCTGGAGTGTTGAGTAAAAGAATGTGAGCATACCAGTCTTAACATCTCAGTGGAAAAGGATAACAATCTTTCCAACCGGCTGGAGGTCAAACAATTGTGTCTGGTGTGGAATGCAGAAATTCAAACAATGAGTGCCCTTTACTTAAATCACTAATCTACCATAGATAATATACAGATAATTTGGTGCTACATTTCTCTAACCACCACTACCAAATAATAAAATTTGTGAAAACTTTGTTGTAACACCTAAGACAAAAAAAATCTGATGTTACATTGCAAAAACTAGAGTGCAGGGTTCTCATGGTGAACGGGAAACCATCTTAGGCAGTTCTAAGAGAGCAAATAAAGAGGTGTAGCTGCAATGCAATGGTAAGATGACAAACAAAATAATTGCTTTTTTTGAATGTAGTCATCATCTTAAAGCATATCAAAATTTCATCATGGAAATAAGTCATAGAAAACAAAAATAATAAATCTTGACTCCTCTCATGGAAAAATGATGCAACCTCTCTGAGAGATACATATGGCTGAGATGGATCTCCACAGAGAAGTATCACACCACCTTCTGGCTGCAAAGAGTAACAGGACTGGTTACAGTATAACTGAGGCTATTACCTTATTACATTAAGGTAACAGCCTCAGTAGATGATCAGTTCTTGAAGACATTTCACCTCTCATTCAAGAGGCTTCTTCAGTTCTAAGTGACTGACATAGGTTATTACCCCCAACTCACATGCCTAATGGCCCATTAACAACCCAAGACCTGCCTGCATTAAGGTGTGAATGGTTATGAGCTTGTCAGGTCAAGCATTACTTGAAATGTTATTGGTTGTGAAACTTTCCGTGATCTTACGACTGCATTATAAGTACATGATATGGGGTTTTGTTGAGTTGCTCCTCTATTTAGAGATGATTGTTCCAGTTTAACAGAGATGACTTCCTTCCCTCCTCTCTCAAACCAGTTGTCAAGAATGTGAACATTGCTGTCTTAAAGGAATGTTGCTTATCTTATAGATGCATGTGGGCTGCCGAGTCTTGCCCCGAAGGATTGGCACTCCTGTGCTGTGGCTGTTTAGTCTCCCCTGTATATTGGTTTACACAGTTCTCACAGCAATGAACTGCGCATACAACAATGCTCAGCTTGTGTGTGGTTGTTTTATCTTTAGGGTGAACCTGAGTCATGCTGGCACCAAATATTTTATTTTTGGTTTCTCAGACACCAATTATCAGGTATTTATTATGCAGTCCTAAGATCTCTCTCCAGAAAGTTTCACCACCTTGAATCATGTGAGACTTGGGTCACTAATTTGACATGTGAGTTAGGGTAGGCAATATTTGTCTGTGACTTAATATCAGTCAGTCAGAACTGAAGAAGCCACTTGGATGAGAGATGAAGTATCTGCAAGAAAAAGAGTTGTCCAGTTTTTGCTGAAGCTCTGAGGATTACCATAAGCCAGATAACTGAGAATTTACACAGAAACATGGAAGGTGTTGCAAATGAACAATTAGTTACTTTATACTGTTGTATTTACACAGACCTTGGACTTTGCATTGCAGCAGATATACAAGACAAAATAACAACATATCACTTACACAATGTTTCTGACAAACTTTGAAGTTGTTTTGTACACCAAACAAGAACAAAGCTTCACCTACCAGCATTAACATGAAGGGATTTAAGGGATTATTTTCAAATTTAAAAAAAAAAAGGGTTGATATCCATTGTTCAGCAAATGTCCTTAAATGTTAAAACTCACTTAACTTCTACCAAATAACATTTTTATAAGTAATTTCTATTTGCATTATTACTTCTAGTTTGTTTTCACAGGTGCTTGCTTATGCCTGTTTGTCATCTCCAGTAAAAATCCATTCAATGCTCCTTAGCAAATACCATAATTTAAACAGAAGATGGTGCTATTTAGCTGGTTCACAGCTCCCACAGGTTATATTACATCCATCCATCTATCATAGAGCTACACAGAGAGACAAACAATCAAGCACACTCACATTCACACCAACAGACAGTTTAGAATCACCAATTAACCTCTTTATGGGCTGTGGGAGGACGATGGAAAACCCGGACAGAACCCACGCTGCACAGGGAGAACATGCAAAATCCACGCAGAAAGATCCCAGGCGTCCTAACTGGGACGTGAACCGGGGATCTTCTCACTGCGAGGCGACACTGAGCCATTGCGCAGCCATAGGTTATACTCCTGAGAGAGAAACCAAAAGTTTTAAAATGAACAATAGTTTGGATTTTGGAATAATGCATCAGCTGTAAACCAGCTATAACATTTGAAGACATCTTAACATATAAAGTTTTGGTAAAATTTTGGTTGATGTCACAAGTAAATCTGCAGTTTGAGCAGGTATAAACACATTTTTTTAATAAAAGCATTTTTAGATTTAAAGTTAGTAAAATGCGTAAATGCAGAAAATAGTTAGCATAAATCATTACTTTACTTCTAATTTTGCATCAAGTCTGTCAGTGATAGTAAAACCTGTCGCTGGAACAACATCATTGAACATTTTGGAAACTGTGACATGTTTCACTTACTTGTGCCTATTCAGTGCTTTCCACGAGCTGCCACCCTTTTATAAGCATATTAGCATAAAAAACAATTGCTAGTGGACCCAAATGTGCTTGATCTTCTGCTCAAAGACAGCAGAATTAAAGTGGCAAGATTTTCTTTTTCTCTTTTTTACAATTATTTACAATAGCAGCCTTTGCCTCCAACTTTGGATGACTAATAACATACCCAGTAATAATCAACCATAACTAAGCAATAGCCTCGGCTCTGCGACTCTAGCATGAGCTTTTATGACAGACTAAAAACAGACATCATCACCAAAAAACATAACATTTCATTTTGAAATAGGCGTTTGGGGAGTTCAATCTTTCGAAACCTCTGGTTTGCCCTTAAATATGTGACCACGCAGTGGCCAGTGTGTGTAGAGAGGAGCGAATGAGCGCATTCTTCATGAAGGGGCGGGTGCAACTTTCCCTGTGATTCTGGCAGCACTTATGTAGGCAGGTAATGTGACAACTCATTACATTAGCACCATCGTGTTCTGCTGCGCTGGCTGCAGGCAGATTAGCCAGTCGATGGACAATCCTCTTAAAGAAGTCTGCATTAAACCACAGTGAGAGGCTGGCTGGCGCTTGCTGTCCTCTGCATGCCCCTCCCAGCTCTTTGTCTCTCTCTCTTTGTACACATGAATGTGTACTCTTCTTGATGTTTCTTCCTCTCCTCTAGTTTTGCTTCCTTCTTTTATTCCTTCTCTCCATCTCTTTCAGATCTTTTTATCCACCTGCCTGTTGGCCTTGCGGAAAAGAGTCTTGATCTCTTCTGTCACCATCTCTTGCCAGTTGTCCCTAGTTAACAGAGTATGAAGTTAAAACCTTTGTGTTTTTTTAACAGTGATTGTAATTTAAAGCATAGCTCTGGCATTCGCCTCCAAAAAACACTGCCACAACACAGTAAAATAAAAAAAGTTACTTGACAATGTGCCAGCTAGCCACAGAAATGTGAATGTACTACACAAAGAGGGCTTTCCTCAATCTGCTTAAGAAGATGGAGAAGGTGATAAGATCAAGAGATTACACTAGTAGTTGACAAGCAATCAGGGAGATTCAGAAATCAATGAGGGAAAATGATGCATGTGTGTAGACTTAAAGCACGCGTTTGGTTCACAACAAACATGGTAGACACAGACACAGTAAACACAGATAGTCACAGTAACATTTTCACAACACAACACTGGCCGGGGAGCAAATTTATACCTCCTGTGTTTGGACTGAGAAGGTCAAGCCTTTTTCTCAGCTTTTTTTCTCCTGTACGCAGCTATATCCTCAGGGTTCAGCCCATGATTGTCTTCCCTGAAGTAACACGTGGACAGTCACGGTTTGTATGAGTCCACAGTTTATGAGTGGCAGGCAGCAGTTACATGTTGAATAAACCAGTAAAAAGTTGCATTCTAACACATATGGGCAAAATCAGCTACACAACTGAGCCATGATTTTCAGTTCCACTCCAAGGCAGAATGCTTAAATTCAGGATTGTATTGATTTCAGTGCAATTTGAGATCATGTGGGGGGTTTGTTGTACTATTTTCAATCACCACGTATTTTGTTATTCTAGTTTTAATTCAAGACACAAAACTAATCCGAGATTTAAACCCTTACCCTGGTCGAATCTCTGGTGGTTTTGGCAAAGGCTTTGTAAAGTTGGTTTTCCCAACAAGCCAGTATGTCTCTTCAATACCTTTACCCTGCAAGAAAAGGAGCGAAGAGTTCATGTTGTCTAGTATAGAACCATGCAATCCATCATTCTGTGGACATGTAAAATCATCCCAGACCGTTACCTTCAACTCTGTCTTGCCTCGGACATCTATTTTATAACCCTCATTAAGAGAATGGAGGATCTTCACAGTGCTCATATTTACATGGATTCTATAAGCTGAGAAAACAAAACAAGAAAGAAGAGGGAATATAAAGACATTCAACCAAAACAAAGCATAAGAAAATGTAGCAAAATTTCTTGGTAATGTGTGAAGTATACTCACGCAGCCCAGTGGATTCCATACGAGAGGCAGTGTTGACAGTATCTCCAAAAAGGCAGTACCGAGGCATGGTAAGACCTACCACCCCAGCAACACAGGGCCCTACAGACACAATTCAATGAATATCAATCCACGGAAAGAAAATTCACATCAGTCTGTTTTTGATCTGACCTACAGGGAGTAAATGAGACACAGTGATCAATCAATATCAGTATCAATCCCAGATGTGTTTACATGTGTGTGTGATAGACAAGTGTGATAGACCAGACAATCTAAACAAGTCAAACCCGAAACCAGGATGTGTCCAGTTTAAAGATGGAAATAACAAGTCCATTACCATTACACCATTACAACCGGAGGCCTACATGGATTCCTGTTCTACAATCTCCTTTAAACATACAGTTTCAAAATCAGTCTCATATCAACAGAAAAAAAAACAATTCTTCTTCTGGCTTCCTCCTCAACAGGTGCTGGACAACCAGGCCAAAAGCAGCAGGCGTTTAATTCTGTGTAATAATGTGTAGTAATGAGTCTGGCTTTCTACCAGCCCACCTGAGTGGATTCCTATTCTTATCCTGACGGGCACGTCTGGCATGTGTCGCATGTGGAAGGTTCCTACTGAACTGAGGATGTTCAGTGACATGTTGGCGATCTCAGCAGCATGCTTGTTGCCGTTTCTCTTGGGCAGACCTGATGCTACCATGTAAGCATCACCAATGGTCTCCACCTGGACAAAGTCAACATATTATGGAGACATAAGTCTGTCTCTGGGTGCTTTATAGACAAAGACTGTTGAATGACATGACTGAAAGTTTTTGTGATATAAAACTTGACTTTTAAAAACTATAATCTCAGAAGCTGAGTGTTCACGAGTGAAATTGATGTTCTCTGACCTTGTAGACATCGTGGTTACTAAGCACAGCATCAAACAGTGTGTAGAGGTCATTGAGAAGGTCAACCACCTCAATGGGATCACTGAGTGAGGAGATTGTAGTGAAACCCACAATGTCACTGAAATAGATTGTGACTTGGTCAAAGTACTCAGGCTCCACTGTGGCACCGGTCTTCAGGGCCTCAGCCACAGAACTGCACAGAAAAAAGAGGAAAAGTTAAAAAGGCAGTACATTTAATTTCCAAAGTTTCAATGTGAGTCTGTGTTTTGACTGACGGTGGAAGCATCTCAGACAGGAGCTTCTCTGTTCTCTGCTTTTCCACCTCCAGCTCCTCTGTTCTCTCTCTGATGAGATCCTCCAGGTTGGAGCTGTACTGCTCCAGCATCCTCAGCATGGAGTCAATGATGTTGGTCTTCTTCCCCTTGTTGATCATCTTGAACTATTGTAAAAAAAAATTTAAAAAATGCTTTAAAAAAATTGCAAAATCAGGTTAAAAATGTGGAAATCTTTAAATTGGTTTATTTGACTAAAAAAAAGGGCCAGAAAGTTTTTTCTAAAATATACCCGGTCAAAGATCTCATCAAAGTTTGGCCTGCGATCAGGCAGTTCACTCCAGCACTGCTTCATTAGCTGGATACATTCAAGTGGAGCCTGATCCGGGGCCACAGTTGGACGGCACATTGGAGGAGGCTTCTTCACCTTACGGATGATCTCTGAGAGATGAAATCAAGGAGATGGGACAAATTATTCCTAACTAGAATATGCACTAAGATTTTGTTCCACTGTTGGCTGCGAGCTCTGTTGCATGACAGCCAAATCCAAATGTTTCACAATCCTGAACTCTGTATCTCTGTATCGCCTCCTCTGTGTTAAATACACACCTTCAGGTGGCAGACCAAGCATGCAGTACGGTGGCCCTCTCACCACCACCTCTTGAAGAATGATGGAAAAACTGTACACGTCTCCCTTGTATGTGCCTTTACGGGAAATTGCAAGGTCCCGTAGGAACTCTGGAGCGGTCCAAAATAGATCTGAGTAAAGCAAGGAAAAAATTTAGAATGAAGATGTGACATTGTAAAAGTCCTTGTGATGAATGTATGGTTTTTGCATGTGTACACCACCATTAAGTTTAAAATGAAAGATACAATCATCAGCATTGCACTGTCTATGAAGCATAGCAAATGGATAATCATTCATTTTAATGAAACAAGTTAAGTAAAGTTGAAGGTACCTTCAGGCAGGGGTTCCTCTAGAGGAGCTTTCTGCGATTCAAGCAGCTCATTGAAGCCATAGTCTGTGATTTTAAGGACAAAGCGCCCGTCCACCACACAGTTTCGAGATTTTAGCCTGCCATGTGGGAAATCTCTGTGGTGAAGGTATTTCATACCCTAGGAGCACAACCCAGTTAAAACAACATATGGCAAAATGGTTAGTGTTGCCATTATGAAATGTTTAACATGCATTGAAAGTTGTTTTTTTGTTGTTGTTTGTTTTTTTTATCACTGTATACAGTATTAGTTTATACCTTGATGAGATCAAGCACAAGGGAGGACTTGAACATCCAGTCTAATTTCACATCTTCATTCCTCAGCAGGTCCTCCAGACTCCCCCGTGAGCAGTGCTCCGTCACCACCGCGAACATGGAGCAGTCCAAAAAGAAGCCCAGGAAAGGGTTTACGTTCTCATTTCTCAGGTCCTTCATCTGAGAAAGCAAGAAAGAAGTTACAGTATGTTAAGATGACCATAATGCCAGATTCATTTAAAGTATTTCTGTATTGTTTCTTATATTGTTATTGATCAACAGAGAAGGACACAGATTATACAACCACAAGACATTTGCAGCTTTGTCACACCACCATATTACAGTAACATGTTGTTCTACCTTTGTGAAAATCTTGGTAGTGCTTTGCTTCACCTCCTTAAAGTGTCCCTCCTCAAATTTCTTCAGCCATACCCAGTCGCCCTAAAGGAGAATGCCTATTGTTACTGTAAAATCAAGCTTGAGTGTTGCGGAAAAAAAGAAAAGAAACATCCACTTGTGCAGTTTCTTTAGGAAGCCTAAACAAAGAAGGGTGTTTTAAGAAACTCTAAACTGCGTGTTTTTTGTTCTTATTTTTTCGTTTGTTAGCAGTTTTGCTTAGTTTAATCCAAAAAATTAAAATTTTTGTAACATTTTTTGGAAATAGAAACAAGCAAAAGCAAAAGCTGTCTGATCATCCACCTACATCAAATGTTCTGTTTAATTGCTGTATCTGTTTGAAGGTATTGATTAGAAATGATCTCATCTTGTTCAGTTGTGCACAGAAGAGTCACAAAAGTTATTTGATTGAATTACACACTCTACCCATTTTCCTTGTCTGATGTTGGATGTAGACTATCACTGTAAAATTAATGGCACATATATTAGTTTGTGCTGCACAAGGACATCCACTCCTATTCACTTCAACGTCAACTCACTTCAAGCACCGTTTTTAAATATATACAGACCCTTTCCAAAAAATT